CAGATTCGAACTGCTCGTACGATGAGTACTTGGAGAAAGCCATTCCCAAGGTTAGACGCTCGGAGTACCTCTTGCGATCACAACGAATCATATCCTTCGTGTAGTCCTTGAGAGCACACACCAACCCCCCCTCAGGGTCAGCAACGAACCATTGTCGCCACGCCTCGAGCCCCGACCGAGCAGTCGGAATCGTCTTCTGCGCTATGAAGCCATCCATCTTCAGCTGCTTTGTCGAGGCTCGAGGAGGACTTGCATGCAACTGACCGTTCTCCTGTAGAAATCTTGCCACCGCTGCACCAAGCGCCTCCACACTCAGAGACGTCGCAGGCCCGCCGCTAAGGATGCCATGGCATTGTACGGAGCTTCCAGAACGAAGTAGGTTGCGCGGGTTGATTTCATTGCTGATGCTTTGAGTAACCAGGTACTCGCAGCAAGTCTTGGCATTCGACCATCTGCACCATGCCATCAGCTCCCGGAAATTGAAGCGGCGCTCAGTTGATTCGAAGACGCGGTAAAAGGCACCTCCCCGTCGGAGGCTGTGGAGTGTGAACCCAATTGGTAGGTTGGGAGTGGCTTCGACAATATCACCGAGCATCTTTCGTAGAGTCGCTTGCTCAAGAGGACGCTGCCAGTCAACTCGCGGAACACCACCTTGTTGGAGGACAAGGCTTGGGAAGACGAACGCAGACCCGACAAGGTTGACACCAGACACGCGCAAGGCAGCCAAGTATTCTTCATAGAACACACACACTCGAAGACATGGAAAGGTCTTCTCGTCCACAAGGTGGTATATCTGACAGTCTTCAGCGACGTTGGCTTTTTTGTGCCACCGGAGACGCACGGACAGGTAGCGGCCACTGTCATCTGAGACCAATTGGACGTCATTGCTGCGTAGGTTGAGAACCTCACTGATTCGAAAGCAGCCAAGAAATCCAGCAGCAAGCACGAGCCGAAGGAGCGAGCCAACGAATGGGTGCAAACCAGAGAGCCCATTCATCAGGGTTGAAAGCTCGTGAACTGTAAGTGGGTGTGCCTTTTTTTCCTCGTCAACGTTGTTTTTCTTGTTGAACTTTTGCAGGCCAACTATGTATCGGCGGGCACTGACGTTCTGTGCTGGG